CATTTATAAATAAATGAATAATTTAAACCAGTAATATATAAAGTGCTAAAAACTGCATGAGTTTGTCCATATAGGTTATTGGAAAGAAGCTTGCTCATAGGCAATGAGACTCAAAGCACAAATTAGTTACAGAATTTTGTCAGCATTGCTAGCACAACTAATTGTTGTCGGCACTTGTTGGTGCTTTGATTCTGGATAGGGGAGAACTACATTTAAAAAGGAAGGCAGAAATATCTGACTATCCCACAACAGCAAAATCAGCTAGCTTACATTAGACTATCAATGTAAGAAACAACTTTTAATACATGCATCAAGAAAGGTCAAATAAGGAAGAGTCACACGACTTCAAAACATTCTCTAATGCTATTATTAAAATATCTATCATGTTTAAGGGACATTTTTTTTTAATATCAATAAGATTTTATTTTTCTCGTAAGCGAAAAATGAGAGAACAAGTCAAGCTCTGCACTTTAGGAATGTATTGTCGTTTGTTTGAATCACAAACTATGACTGAAAAAAAAAACCCTTGCCCAAAACAGGGTGGGCGCTAAATTAGTTTATTTCCCATATCAACACATTGCACTCTTATGGTGCTATGGCCCTGACACACTGCTCCTCTGCACAAGACTTGTTTTGACAGTGATCAGCAGCAGGAACCCCACCCCAGTACCAATAAATCTTCAGGCTGCATCCATCCTCTGGCTGCTGAGTCAAAAAAACCTCCTGAGAAGTACTCTTCAACATATTGAAAGTTGCAATACTGTTTCTGCTATGTTTAGAGAGATCAGGAAATTATTTGTAGCCCAGCATCAGCAAAATATATTTAATTAAACCCTAGTGTAAAGACTTAATTGAGACTTATTTGGGATGATCTCTTTAACTCAATCCTGGTTTCTCTGCTGAAGCATGTCCAATTCTTATCAGTGAAACTGGGCATTAAATCTACAGGGCCACCGAAATGTTTCACTGAATTATTACAGCTAAAAAGAATTATTCTCTCTAAATATGAAAGAGGTGGTCTAAAGTGAAGATAGCTACCACAAAACCAGAGGGCTTCTATGCACCATGCCCAGAATTTAGAAGCATTCTGACATGAAACATCACATTTCTCCATTTGGGTTTCATCTGAATTTCCTTTTTAGGACAGAGTCTACTTCTGCCTTTAAAGTATGTAGCTACCTATTTCGGTCATGTGTTTCACTTGAAAACAATACCTCTATCTCTGCTTTAATTCATCCACAGGGCCTGCCAGGAAGATGTGACAGGTGGCTATTTAAAGGAGGGCCTTTCCAATCTAGTGTCTTAATTAGCAAGATTCACCCAGCATGTATGCTGTGAATTCTTCAGCCAAGGTGAGAACTTCTCTTTCATTCAAAAGAAAATGACTGCTTTTTTAAAATTATTCTTGAACTATGGCTGCCCTATCTGGGTTATTTTGTTTTGGTTGACTCTGTCACTACTTTAAATTCCATGTTAGATTTTTTTTTTAGTTCTATTTTTTATATTTCAAGGTTTGGATCCAGTTTTCTTACCCCATCAATGGGAATGTTCTTGAGAAAACTTCCACTCAGAATGTTCATATTTAGTAGACTTATAGACATAAAATAACTTTCCTTGCTATTCAAAAATATCCTTTTTAAGGTAGTAGAGCAATATCCTACAAGAAAGCAGTGGCAAACTGGGTAACATATTGTTACCCAAAATCAAACAAACCCTATATCAGTGGTGGTGAACCTATGGCACGGGTGCCAGAGGTGGCACTCGGAGCCCTCTCTGTGGGCACAGGTACCGTTGCCCCAGTCTTGCCTCCCCCGCGACCCCCTCCTCTCCATCAGCCCCCCTGAAGGAGAGTCGCCCTCGAGCATGGCCCACATGGAGCAGTGCAGCCAAGGACATGGCAGCCAGGCAGCGTAGACAAGACTCTGCCCTCACACCCCATCATGTAGTTGATGCTGCAGGGCGCGGGCAGAGGGTGTGGCCGCCATAGCACTGCTGGGCTGCCTGGGCGATCTGTGGTGGGCCCTGGAGGCGGTGAGTGGTCTTGTGGGCAGACAGGGCAGGGGATGAGGAGGGCAGAGCGGGGGTGCAGTGGGGCAGGGCCAATTTTTGGGCACTCGGTCTCTAAAAGGTTCGCCATCACTGCCCTATATGGACATCTCTATGAAGACACCACGAGCTCATAAAAGCTTATATCTTTTAATAAAATTTATTAGTGAGAAAAGATATACCAGACTCCTGGTTTTGGCTGTCATAGACTAATACAGCTCTCCTACAATCTCATTATTATGCCTTGCACAGAATACTACTTAATAGTGTTTGCCCTCTGAACAAGGCTACAGAAAACTCACTTTTTAGCTCAGCATCAGAAGCCATGCATCCATCCCAAGATGCTAGAGATAGTAATCTACTCTGGAAATGTTTTAAAATTGTTGGTCTTTGTGTCTTTGGGATTAGCAGAAACTCCTATTCTTTCTAGGAATATTCCCATTGATAAGGTTATCCCGCTAGAAGTTCTCTTCTTTAAAGCACAGGTTTACATTTTTAGTATCATCCATCACTGTAGCCTGCATGTACACTCTCTGTCACAGATTGCTTCAATAGAAACAAAAAATAAATTAAGTTATTTGTAATAAAACAGAGGGTAACACTTGATTTGTTGATATGATTTTCAGTAGGGTCCCTGTAGTATGCATAATGTTTAGTCCCATGCTGGGCATAAGAAGATCATTTAAAAAGCAACATAAAATATTTTAAATGGTTCATTTCAATACTCACATAATAACATAGTAAAAAGCACAATTTGATGAATGAAATGGAAAAAACAGATAAGCTATCTGTCTATAAACTAAAAGAGAGGGCCAAATAGATCAGAATGAAGGCGATCATTTCTTGTAGACTGGAGTGATGAAACCACACAGGGAAGCGAAAAGGTAGGTTTAACGATAAAGGAAAGATTAAAATGTTATGCCTGAAAGAATATGGTAAAATAATGTAACCTAGACAGTTATGATGTAACAATTCAAAGATATGAAAGTTGTATGTTACGCACCAATGAATGATGATAAGGGAAGAACCAAAAAGGATTTAGAGAATATTCTGAATGAATGAGATCTAAGGACAAATTAATTTTGTTAGATGGCATAAATGGATGTGTTGGAACAAGATGAGAGAGAACAAAAAAATAACAAGGCCATTCAGAGGCCCAAGAATGAATTCAAGTGGTGACTGTCTGGTGATCATTTCCTCAGGGGAAAAAAAAGTCCATTTGTTTTGGATATATAATTTCAGGTTTCATATATGCACATGAAAACAACTGAATATAATCTGGAACCTTTCCTCAGGGGCCACAGGAGATTGCAGAAACAATAAAGGATCAGTTAAAATCCTTTAATTCCTCCAGTGAATATCCTGTGTGTGAAGATTTGCACATAGTAGATACAGTTTCTACCAGCTTTAGAATTAAAACTTTTTTTTAACAGTATTTACAGAATACATCCACAAAAGTACAGAACATCATGATATATTCACTCTGGGATCCTTGTCAGAATTCAGTCCTGCTCCTATAAAATGTGAGATATTTCAAGGTGTTTCACATATTCTAAAAAGCTGTTCTTGATTCTATCCATGTCACAGCTTTGCCCTCCATCCTGCCTCCCTTTCTCTTCCATCCATCTTTTTGCAATGTGATATGGCATTGCTGAAGTATTGCCATTGTAGAGTGCATGAAATTTAATTCCATTTCTCAGTGGAGAAATCCATGATTCCATCGGCACATATCTCCAGCATTAAACTTAAAATGCTCCCTGGTATTGTTTTTAATAATTTATCTATTCTGCACCCCTGGAGGTGGAGAGGATTCGCCTTTGGATTCATAGTTCTATTTTTATGTAAATAAAACCTGCTCACGTCGACATCCAAAGGCAGCGAACCATCTAGCTGTGGACTTTAACAGCTGAATGGCAAAACTGGAAGTGACCTTGTACGGGATGACCTTGAAAGCACAGAAGTTGCTTTACTGGTGCTGTACTTTCAAACTAAAATAATTCAGTTGAGTGAAGCAGTGATTTTGACTATACCATGCCCTCCATCTCTTTCTTCTTTTTTTAAACATTATCCGATAATTAAATAATAAAGTACATAAATCATTTTTCTAAACTTAACATTTGCCAGCTAGGTAGCGTTTGCATTTTTCTTGTTCATCTCAAAGAAAAGAGCAAACAGAAAAGCTTTGCACAGCTTCAAGAGAAATAAATGCAAACCACAGAGAGTTTTTACAATGAATTATAACCCTGAAGTTGTGGTTTAGATGTTCGCATTTGGGGGTATGTAAATCAGTTCTATGTCTTGATCATTGTTCTAAAGTGAGACATTTGACAGGTGTTTAGATGGTGATTATTTAAGGCTGTAATTACCTTGCAATAGGCATAATCTAATATCCATACGCATGCAAGAAAATGGCTTAACAGAAAAGCGTTTCAGATGTATTTATGTCACTTGCAAATTCACTGTCATGAACATTATTGATAAATTATGTCTGATACATTAGATCCCAAAGACGGGATGTACTTTTTCATATATTTTGGACTATATTTCAGATTGTGTTTGCCTCACTGTCACGCAGTAGGGATTTTGGCTGGTATTTGAGCAGTTGTTGGACCTTAGGGTACAATAGCCTTTCAAAACAGAATATTCCAGTATTTGTGCACATTTCAGGAAATGGTTTACCAAAGAAAAACATCATATTTTTTCACAGCCAAGTGTCTGCTCTTACAACAAAGCCTTTGCGATCTTTGTAAAAATTTATGTGGTTCTCACATGGTATGTGCGTCAGATGACAAAGGAAAAGTGTATTCATAAAGAGTGAAATAATCACCACTTCTAAGTGAAAATGGGACCTAGCAAGAGCCTTGCATTACAAGATGCCTTCCACAAGACCAGGATCGTGGTTTCCCCATTATGATTCAACAATTCAACAACTATTATGATTCCTCCATTTTTACCTGTACAGATTTTTGCTGATATTGGTACTGAGCTTCTCCTTTTTCAAACTGGTTCTTCACACTTGCCAGGCCTCCAGGTATTCTGCATGCCCCTGATTCCTCCAGAGCCTGGTGGAGAAAAAAAACAAAGTAAAGAAGTGAAAATAAGCCCTTAAAAACAGCAACGGGCTACTTTTGGTGTTTTTGTTTTTGCTTCATCCTTGAAGTCAGTGTTGATGGCTGGTGAATGCCTGGGCAAGTCCCTGCAGTTTTCTTGGCAGGTTCTCAGAAATGGATTGTCATTGCCTCCTTCCTAGGGTTGAAGAGATTAACTGGCCCAAGCTTGTCCAGCTGGCTTTGTGTCTAAGGAAGGACTGGAATGCACGGTCTCCCATTTTCTAACCTGATACCTTAACCACCACACCAAATTGGCTTTCATTTAGGTGTTATGATATTCCATAGCACTTCTGAGTTCAACTGGCTTTACTCCCAGGGAAAGTGGGTATAGGTGGTCCTCATTTAATGACCATTCATACAGTGACCATTTCAACTTATGATGAGTGGCAGTTATAACTGGTCTTTAAAATTCTGACTGGTGCATTGCCCTGTGGTTACATACAGTAACTGCAATTTGGATGCGTGGCCATTGGGCTGGATTTCCAACCATCACAACTGTCCCCTGGCCATGTGATCACAATTTGTAACCTTCCCCGCTAGCTTCCCATAAGCAAAGTCAGTGGGGAAGCCAGCAGAAAGTCAGAAGTGATCATCACATGAGGCCATTACTTAAGGAGCCGCAAGGTCCTCACTTAAACAATGGTAAACAGAGACTGTTGGAAGTGCCATTGCTAAGTGGCTCAGTCACATAATATCACACTTTACAATTGTGTTGCTTAACGTTGCAAATTCTGGACCAAATTACCACTATTCACCACGGCCTACCTGATTAGGTACTACTTAATTATAAATTTTATTTCTCCCTATTCTTACAAATTATAGTGTTTTGTTTTAAAGTTTGTGTTTTTTCAGATGTCTATGGAGATCCTCAGTCATCCAGGTCACGATTGTCCCAAAGGTGCTTTTTTTACGAGGCAACTGGACTTTCTTGTTTTTCCTTGGAGACATTTTGCTTCTCATCCAAGAAGCTTCTTCAGCTCTGACTGGATTCCATTCCCCACCATCCAGTCAGAGCTGAAGAAGCTTCTTGGATGAGAAGCGAAACATCTTCAAAGAAAAACAAGAAAGTCCAGTTGCCTCATGAAAAAAAGCACCTTTGGGTGTTTTGTTTTGTTTTTAAAAAATATTTTCTGTTCCAAGAAACTACAGAAACATACTAAATACTAAAAGTATTTGAAAAGAAAAATGCAAAATATCCAGTGCCCAATGCTCTGAATGGTTCCAAATTTGTTTTGCTTTACTTATAAAGTATATTTTGATATTGGTTCGTCCCCTTCCATTCTAATCTAGCTATGTATAGGCCTTAATAAGTGATGCCAACCTTCTAAAACAAGCTCATGAAAAGAATCTCAGCAAAATGCTTAAAATGTGAATGCCTAATGCATTATCCAGATTTAAGCGGAAGCTTACAGTGATATTATTATTACCACATTGATTTAAAAGATTAAAGAAGCACTAACAATCAGTAGCCTTCAGTACCTTCTAATCCAGTGTTTCTTCAGGACCATTAACTGCTTTATGCCATCAGGGGCTCAGAGACCAGGAAGAGATTCTACTGTTATACAACTGTGAATTAATCTCTTTTCAAAACCCACACAGGCAGTCTCAGGAGCCTCTTTTATAATGTTGAGGATTAGCGCAACAATGAGGACTGCATTTTTGTGTTTTTGGGGAAACAACAACAACAACCTCAATTCATATGCTGGCATTGTGAACCACATGTGATTTAAAAGCCTAGGTTTGATAACAAATTAGAGACTGGGAATTAGGCGAGAACATTAAAAGCCTCCCTCTGGATCTTGTCTACCCTGGTCCACAATGCTATTTGCTTCTCGCAACCGCGGTGGGGACTAATCATAGTCTTCTCGACTATTCCCATTTGCCTCTTCATCTTGCTTTGCTTCCTTCAACTTCAGTGGGCTGCTGTTATTTTTCAGAGTTTTAACAGGAGGGGGTAAAAGAGTGAGCTATCAGATTTTATTTATTTATTATTTTTGTGTTTTCAAATCAGTGTTTGACTGCTGTTAGCTGCCTGGACTATTCCCTGTGGTTGTCTTGGCAAGATCGTTCAGAAGTGTTTGCCATTGCCTATCTGGGGCTGAGAGAGAGGGGCTGGCCCAAGTCATCCAGCTGGCTTTGTGCCGGAGGCAGGACTAGAACTCAACATCTCTGGGATTCTAGCCTAATGTCTTAACCACTACCCCATACTGGCTCAGGTTCTGCCACACTAATAATTAGCCCCAGGTATTGCTGTCTTATGTTTGCCTCTAGTCGTGCTTTGCCTCTATGTGGTCATGTTTCAATAAAATCTCACTGCCCTCTTTCCTGTTATTGCCATTGGACTGCCCTCAAGGGCTCAGCAGGAGTAGGGAAGGGGGAGCCCTCAGGCAAAAGGCAACACTTCAGTTCTGCTTTTGTGCAGTGGTGGGATTCAAATATGTGAACAACAGGTTCTCTGTGTGGATGCTGCTTCCAGAAGTCCATTCTGGGCCTGGGCAACAACAAATTAGCTACCGGTTCTGCTGAAGTGGTGCAGACTGGCTGAATCCCACCAATGCTTTTGTGTCTGCAGAGCAGCCCTGGAGGAAATGTCTCTTCAGGATGTTTGTTTGGGAGGGTTACTTAGATGGTTAGATGATTTGTAAGGGGCAAAATGGATCCCTGGAACCTTGTAAGCTTTTTCACTTCAGAAAAACTGCAGTTCTTAAAATTTTCAGCCACTTCCAAACAATATTTGGCTGTTATGGCTTTAACTTAAGAATTTAATACCACCAATTTAAGTAATATAAATGTAATGTATTTCTTTTCCCCTTCTGAAGATTAAATATTTTATGGCAATTTTGGGTGAGGGGACAGTCCTGAGTTCTATTTTTAAGCTGTAGACTGCTCCACTGAGATAGAATTTAATCCCTGGCAGATAAAAAGCTGGACCGATGATTTGCTCTCATTGCAGCCCTATTGATTTATCCATCCACACTTAAAGTTTCCTAAGTATGTATCTTGGTATTTATTTCCTATCAGTCCAGAAGTGGATTTGAGGCTCCTTCTGACTATACTCTGCTCAGTGGCATTAGAGCTGCTGCTGCATTTGTCCTTTTCAAGTTACTCAGATAATCAGAGGCATCATCCCCCAACTCCTTTGTATATCTGCCCATACTCTGTTGACCTTTTGTAAAGTTTTAAGTGTGAAGAACCCTGTTACGTGGCTTTACTATTAGTTATTTAATCATTGCAGCTGCTGTTATTGTTTTTGTGGATGTTTTTATTGTTTAAATGTTTTTATTTGTTTTATAATTTTAGAATTGTAAGCTACCCAGAGTCACTTGGTTGACTATGGAAATTGAATAACTCAATATTTTTTTTTTCAATTCCCATATTTGGGACCAGCTATTCACAAGATCCCTGTCTGTCAACATTCAACTGCATTTATTGGCCCTTATCCACTATATTTCCACTGCATAGTGGTTCACTTGGTCGAGTTGGGCAACAATAGAAATCAAATAAATACATAAATATATATATAAATACATACATATATACATACATACATACATGGTATATTTGGTGACCCAGTACTGTAAGGGACAAGACAAATGTATGTGCACATACAAATACATATATGATCGAACGATACCTTAATAAGGATAGAAAAGAAGCTATTAAGTCATGATATGTTATATCCTCTAGCATGGCACTGCCAAGTGGTGAGACCATACAGTTTCAGTTATAGAAAACTTACGCTATTCCAGAATGCAGGGGTTTGAGAAGTTAAGGCATGTCTTACTCACTACACCCATGTATCTTCTCTACTTTAAGAGTTGCGCTGGCTACCAATAAGCTACTTTCCAGTTACAATTCAAAGTGTTAGTTCTCAAGATCTAGGTAACTCCAGAGCCTCCTTTCCTAAATGACATCTGTCTGTTCAGTAAGATTAAAATGGGTGTGTTCGTTCCGAGTACCTGCTGTCAGACACTCCAAAAATCTGTGATTTCCCCCCCCAGTTATAGCACCCCTTTTTGTGGGTGCTATAGCTTGTGTCAGACATTGAAATAGCCTCTTCCCTCCTGTCCTTTAGAAAGTCCATTAGGCTTGGGAATGTTATGAGGGCGAGGAATGGTGTTCGGATTTTGGACTAGAGTGAGTAATTTCCCCTTTTTTCTTTCTTATGGATTTGCTGGAGCGTTAGTGTTTGTTTTGTAATTGAGAGCCAATGCGGTGTAGTGATCAAGGCAGCAGGCTACAATCAGGGAGGTGGTGAGTTCTACTTCTGCCTTAAGTCAGCTGGGTGATCTTGAGCCAGTCCCTCTCTCTCAGCCCTAGGAAGGAGGCAGTGGCAAACCACTCTGGAAATCTTGCCAAGAAAACTGCAGGACTTGTCCAAGACTTGAAGACACATGCACAAACAAAAATTAATGGTTTTAATCTAAATTATGAAGAATGAAAATAATATGCTTCTCAGAGCTCGCTCCCTTTGAAGTGGCTCATAGGTCTTCTAAAATAACATAAATAAATGTAATAGAAGTAGAAACTGCTTGCTGTAACTCTGCTAGTTAAAAATGTCTCGCACAGCAGCTGTAATTGCAAGAGGAGCCATTCTTCATCAGTCTAAAGTGGCCCTGCTCTAAATGCAGCAGCTGCTTGGGGCAGAAAGGTGGAACTGTGACATGTTTAGGAAAAAAAACAAAACATGCAGCCCTTTTTAAGGAGAGTCTGTCTATGGCAGAGGTCCCCAACCCCCAGTCTGTGGACCGGTACCGGGCCACAGCATGCCAGCAATTGGTCCGCACAAACAAACAAAGCCTCATCCACGGGATTCAGGCAGCACACAAAACCATGCATCCTCTGGTCTGTGGAAAAACCTCTCTCTGCAGAACCGATACCTGGTGCCCAAAAGGTTGGGGACCTCTGCTCTATGGAGTAACCATCTGTTTTTACTCTAAGCTGGAATGTTC